GCAGAATGATGGCAACCAATGATCCAGCAGGAACAAACTTTCGGTGGATATACACATATTCTTCCAGTTCTGTCTCAATGTATGGAATTCCACATAGTATCAGAGACTCCTTAATTCACCTGTTGAGCTTGTGTAGTTTTTGTAAAAAGTCCCAATTTATATGGTGTATTTTTCACCTTTCACCAAATGCTCAATTTATTTTAATTCCCTCCCTTCCTATCGAGGATTCCAGGGCAGGTTGTATCGAGCCCAAAATATGGTGCCCAGAAACAGAAACCACTATAAAATTTAGTCCCCCCCCCCCCCCCCCGTTCGTAGAAGGAAGATACAAAGATACGTGCATGGGATAGCCAGGAAAAGACGGTAGCTATACTGGGGCATTAGGAAGTGGGCTGAAAAGGCGGGAAGTGGTGTCGATAGGATAGATAGGCTAGGGACACAATTGTTTTAGCCAACTTTGGCAAAGTAGGAGAAGGGGCGATTGGCCGTCCGTGATCGGTCCTACGCGAACAATGCTCCGTTCTGTCGACGGCGCATGGTCAATTGTCTAACCGCTTCACAAGGTTTGCAAAACATGAGTACGCCCCCCTCAGCTACAGCCACGGTGGTTTACCTCACCTCGAAAGGGTGCTCTTCGATGCAGAGTTGTCTTCCTCATCGGAGTCGTCGAAATATCCCTTCATCTTCGCCGACCGTCCGCGCGCGTTCTCGAGATAGCTGAGATAGCGTTGGTGCGCCAAAAAATGTCGTGGCGGTGTAAAAGATATGCCTTGCTGCAGTTGGCTGTATTGGGAGCTTGCAACGGTTCTTTTCCCTCTGGCCCGCTGCCCAGAGTACCGCGGGTTCCACAATGGCAGAGAACCGCACCGTGGTACACCCAGAACCATCGTTGCTACTGCTGTGTGAGTAGCCGTAGCAACATTAATGAGATCTCGAGGCAGAAGAAAGCCCCACTCCCACAGGATAACTCACCGGTCCTTGTAGAGCGCGGCCTGCCTCTCTCACGAGCAGCCGGGCGACCATGCAACACGCGCATAGATCGCGGCCGTTTGCACCTTAACACCCCAAGTACAAACATGCTGAGAGGCACACTACTTGTACCAAAGTAGATGTTTGGCTGACTCCATCGCTCTCTCGCCGGAACACTGCACACCCCACACACATGGTACGCCGTAGGTTACGTAAGATACCACACCCCTTGAACTTCCAATCTCTACAAGCGCTCCACGACGAACAGCACGCTACAAAGCAAAATGATACGTTTTCGGAAAGCTCTCGACGAGGCGGTTCCACTGCTGCCATTTTCGGCACCCTCGTGAATCTTGCTACAGAGGTTTCCAGCTTTGAAAATCGGTCCACGGGTGTGTGTGTGTGACATCTCTGATGTTGTACTCAAACGGTATACAACGCCAACGTCGCATCCCCCTACTACCGCACGCACCCTCTGATGCTGTCACGCAAATACGCTGTGCTACATTGTCGTCCAACAGCAACATCGTTCGAGGTTTGATACAAACGCTATGATACCTCGACATGCCATGCATAAAAGAAAACCACACGAGGGAGACGAAACAAAGATCACCTGCCCTGTGGGTCTGCTGGTGATTGCGCCGCACTTCCGCCTACGGCAGCAGTTGATGCTGCCACCGCCGCCGCCGCCGCAAACCTCGACTTCTTTTTCCTGGGAGGGGCTGCAGCCGGTGTTCCTGGCGGGCCCGTCGCCGACGCAGCAGGCGGGACTGACGAGGAAGAGCCCGGGGCATAGGCCTCCTGAGAGCCAGCCTTGCGGAAGTTCATCGCGAACCGATTGCTCGGCTTGCCTCTTTTCATCGTCAACAACAAGGGGGAGAACCAATGGAGGAGTAGTAGATCTTGACGCCGCTGGTGCGGTAGAAGCTGGTGCGGTAAGCAACAACAAGAGATCGCTTTGGTGCCCAACGTCGTGTGCCCTCTTTGCTTCCGCTCGACGGTGCGAGTGTGCCAAGAGCGAGCCTGATCATGCGAGCATCAAGCTTGCTCGCTGGCTCCCTCGCTCTCTGTCCGGACGCCTCGCGAACCAATGGAAACCCTTCAAGAGCTCAACAGCTCGAATACAATGTACCAAGATTGAACCAAGGGGGTGTACCTCTTTCTCTCCGGCCCATGATAGATAGTGACTGCTAGTCTCAGTTGATACCTCGCCTCGCATAGCGCGAAGAGGGATTGGAGGATCCCAGAATATCTGTCGTTGATTTCTATTGACTTGAGGACCCCTCGGGGCCAGTTTATTTGAGTGTACCTTTTTAGGGTAAGTTAACCTGTGACCACGGGAATCGACCGCGTCGAGTGTTGGATCAGTACGGACATACGAAGGTACTGGGTAGAGAGAGATCGGAACGGTGTTTTAATGTGAAGACAACAACAATAACAACAACAACGATCCAGCAGTTTTTGCAGTCTGTTAGTGACTCTTCCTATCTAACGGCTTTTACGCCCTCTGATTGGTCCGGCGTTGGTTCCTAGCCGACCCTCTCCAGCGCCTTCTCGCCGTTCCGCATTCCGAGAACGCGGCGCCCGCGTTCTCGACCAGTTCGCGGCCGCTAGGCCGTGCTTTGGCCGTGGGTGCCTCACAATGATACAGTAGTGGGCCCTCTATAGTGCCGGGTAGTGTCCAGAGAAAAAAGCGGCACTATACCGGGCACCGGCAGTATTCAGAATAGTGCCTCAGTAGTGCCGGTACGGCACTATTGAGGCTTCGAATACCCCTCACCGGCACTACTGAGTAGGTGTTGATTTCATGGTGCAGCGCTCAAGCTTTGCGGGGCCAACAGAGTACGATGTGGATCGTGGATCGAATATGTGTAATATTATTATTATTGGTGGACGTCTAAGTCCTCGTTGCCCTCCTTCGATGTTGTCAGATAAAAAAGACAACAGAGAACCACGACAGGGAGCGCACCGCACGAAAAATAAACGACCATTACTACACACTCTACCACAGTTGTTCTCCCCGCCCTCGCAACGTAGCAGCAACTCTTTCATGTCTGCCTGGCGCACCCCCTTGGATGTCGCAAGAAAGAATCAAAACAACCCCAAGAACACAAGCACGACAGGAAGCGCACCGCACGGAAAATAAATGGCCATTTACATACATACTCTACCACAGCTAGCTAGCTAGCTGTTCTCCCCGCCCTCGCGACGTAGCAGCAACTACTCTTGGATGTGACAAGCAGAAACAAAAACAAAGAAAAGCACGACAGGAAGCGCACCGACCGGAAGAAAAGCAAACAACCATTGCTACAACAGCTAGCTGTACCCCAACCTTACTTACTCCGTAGCAGCAACAAATAAATTCTCTCATGTCTGCATGCCGCAATTAATTGCCGTGGAGCCGCCCGCCACATACATACATCCTCCCTGGCAGACGTGGCCATGAGGGTCTTGCGGCGTCCTGTCCTCCTGTTGAAGGCACAGTTAGTTCACCTTCCTTCCGCACAAGGCATGGTGCGCCTCTGCGTAGAGCTCTTATTATGGTCTGCAGCAGCTGGTTGGTGTACACTCTTTTCGGTGTGGCGTCTGTCCTCTCTGGTGTGTCGTGGTGTGTGTGTTTTTTTATTATTAGCATCGACCGCACTAACCGGGACCAATGAAAAGACGTCAGTGCCAGCGGGTACAAATCAAGGTCCCCGGAAGGGGGCCCAAATTCGAAAAATGCGCAATGCGCTATTTAAATGCGAATGAATGCTAATACGACTCTCTCTACATAAATATATATATTTCATGTAGACACACATCTATCTCAGCTATACACAAATAAATGCCCTCGCCCGAACCTAGGAAGCCCAAAGAGCGGAGGACAGCAAAATAAAAAAGGGTTAATTCAAGCCCAGCCGAAACCAGGATTATATCGTGGTATGCTGCATCTCCCAATTTGATAATCGTACACTCCCAAGATCCAACAGTCATCGTGTCAGCAGCTAGATGACTCAAACAAAATAGCAACACATACACGCCATAGCTCCACACATGTGTGTGTGTGTGTGTTTGTTTTGTTCTCCCATTCATTATTGTTTCTGTCGTCTGCCCCACTGGCCCACATCCTCACTGACTAGCTAGACGACCCAACCAACCGGGGTCACACAGGAGGGGGGGGCTGGACCCCCTTCTGCGGTACATGCCTATGATTGTTTTTATCGCGAGAGGGTTCAGTACTCCCACCCTCGTCAACAGTGAAGTTGATGCACCAAGGCATCATTTACTAACTAACGAATTCAGGAGAAATTGCTTCCAATTCTTTCAGGAACGAAAGTAAGAAAAAAAAACAAATCGCCGGGGCTCGGACCCATGACCTGAAACTTAGAAGGTTAACGTGGATACTACCAACTAGACCACCGGGGCGACCGGTAGTGTGTGTGTGTGTCTACAGCAGGTAGTGAACCGGCACTATTGGGGGGCACAGCGGCGCCCAACCGGCACTATAACGGGCCATCCCAATAGTGCCGGTCCGGCACTATTGAGGGCGCTGTCTGTGTCCAGAAATTTGACCGGCACTATACCGGGCACCGGCACTATTCAACCGGCACTATAGAGGGCCCACTACTGTATAGACCTATAGACGGATTTCCTACGGGCTGCGGGCTGACGAGATCGCAGGAAATGCAATCCTGATGCTCTCGTGAGCCTAGAGCCCCTTTTTTGCGAATTTCTCCGCCCATGCACCTCCGTTCGCCGCGGGAATCGCTTCTGCCGGCAGCCCCGGCCCGCGAGAGCCTTGGCAGCGCTGAGATCGCCGTCGGACTGCCCGTCCCCGAGCGCTACCGAGGGCGGAAAGTTGCGTCTCCGAGATCTACCATGCCTCCACCAATAGCACCTCAATTTATTGACAAGTGCAGGCTGTACACCTCAAAGGTAGCGACGAGATCATTCTTTTTTTGTCAATCGAACTCTACTTTTTTTATATTTTTAATTTTTCTTAATATGACACAACGAAACCATCTCTATCTTTAGGTACTGGTCGGGCGTTTTGTGTGTGACACCCTTTTAATCGTAGGGCATGCAATCTCCCTCAGTTTATAAACGTATTTTCAATGTGGTACGCGTATGTACCGGGTATTTGGGTAGTATATGTGTGGATACATTCCTTTTCTTTTTTGGCGGCAAATCGGGAATAAAAGCGGGGTATTTAAGCGGGAGAAATGATGAATGCTTCCAACCACAAGCACATCACTCCAACCACGAGAACTCACGGGCATGGCTTCCCACCGGCTGTGCTTAGCACGTCACCCGCAACCAAGAAAGCACGAGACTCTCGCAGCAGCGGCAGTGGTGGATCTGCCGGCGGCAGCAGCGGCAGCAGCGGCCAGTCGCCCGACGGGTTTGAGCTCGTCGGAGAGCCTATCTGTTCACGGGAGGCGTTGCCCTGACCCATCCTGTCAGGACACCACTTACTCTGGTGTGGCGCACCAACAGGGGCCGTCGTTACGCGGCTTGCCCTAACAACAACAAGGACGACCCCGACTCCTGCAAGTTCACCGCCAACAAGCTCGCTAGAGCAGGTGGCAAAGACCTGGACCCCTCCCTGCTGTGTGTACTGTGCCTCGCTTCGGTCGTCAACTTCCTCTCAGTAGGAAAGAAAAACGGGAAGATCCACG